CGCGGTGCTGAAGCGGGCGCTGCCCCGACGGCCGCGGTCCGCCCGTGCCCCCCGCGCCGCGCCCCGCCCGTCAGGCACTGAGCGTCCTCCCCCGCTGCCCAGCCCCTCAAATACTCCAGCCGCGGAGCCTCCCGCGGCGACTCATGCGCAGAAGAGAGGCTGCGAGGCACAGGCTCAGCCAAGGACCGCGGGGTCGGTCTGATCCACTCCCGGACCGCGGGAGCAACAGGAAACCCAACTTTCCGCCAATGCGCAGCTCAGGAAGAATCAGACCTTGCGACGAGTTGCTGGTTGTTTCATTCCTGCGCTGTGCTCGGGCACACCCTGCGCTCACTGGCTGCATCCAGCTTTCATGGAACCTGTCGAAAAGCTGGCCCCTGTGTCCCTCAAAAGGTTTCCCCCACTCCGTCTAAGGGATTATTTGGCCTGTCATTTCCCCCCGTTAATTCCATAACGCCTAGGGAAGCTATTATTGACTTCTAGATATTCACACTGACCCCCTCACCCAGCAGTAAAGGAAAGGATGCTTTTTTGTTAGAGGTTTCACTGTGGCCACTTGCACTCACACTTTTAAAGCACCAGCTGGCTAAACAAGTGTCCACAGAAGGGTGGTGCTGGTACATTCTGTGGAAAACTGTGTTGTCTCTCTTACCATTCTTCATTTATGCTGTTAACACAACAGTGTGAAAGTAAGAAAGGTTCTTTCAGTGATCACATTGCAAAAACTGAAGGGACAAACATGAAAGAGGCCAGAAATTCTCCCTTTGCACCTGTCAGGGCAGTGGATCACACAGCTAATTCCTGAAGATGCCATAGATCTGTCTTATTTTATACACACACATATATATAAAAGAAAAGAAAATGTGTAAGTTTTGGTGCACGAAAACACTGGTACAGAAGAAAGCTGCCTTGTCTAATCACTGTCACATTTTACAGTTGATTGCCAGACGTGAAGAAATAGGATAAGAAAAGGTAGCTTTCCCACTGTCCAAAATGACTATTAATATCCTAAGGAAATGCTGTTGTGTATATATTGTCCCTACAATGTAGCCTTGTCACGCAAGTGTGACCTCTGTGTGAATAACTGCATGTGGACCTGCTTGAAAGAGCTTGAAGGCAAAGTGGGTGTTTTTTTTTCAACAGCACTTACAAGTTTTGGATCACATCCTAGTTGAAAAGCTTGTTCTGGTGCGTTGTGTGTCTTAAGAAAAGAGCAAAGCAATAAGACATGAGATGCGTTGTTTGGAAGAGAACAAGCACTGCACTTTTCCTTAAGCTGAAAAGAAAATAAATGTTTTCTCTCATCAGAAAGCTGCTCTTTCTGAGGTTAAAAAAGAGCAGATGCATTTGACAGTGCTTACATTAGACAAACAAAAAACCAATATATGTGTGTGTAAGCATTTGAGAGAAAAAAAAATAAAAATCTATAAAAGCATGATAAGACCAGTTCTCTCAGAGTTCAGTTGTTGCATTTCTATCATCAGGGAACCAACTTGGTGGATGCCAAACACTGCACAGAAATTTGGGAAGAACAGAACTGTCATGGGAGAAGCTGTCTGTATCCATCCAGAGAAAAGGTTCTTCAATTACCCCTTCTCTCATAGCAGCAATTTTTAATGTTCTTGCTAGTCAGAACCCATCTATGACTTTCCTTTCCTTTAATAGTATCACAAGGCTAAGAAGTTTTTACGTTAGCTATCTGGGATTAAAGGCTGTCAGTGTTGTGATGTTAGGTGGGGCAGATGCTATTTTATAGCATCACACATACAACCTAGATGTGCTGCTTTCTCACTGATAGCTACTTGAGAATCTAGTTCTTGATGGATCCAGGCAGAAGACATCTTTTGTCTCTTTTCTCTCTCTCTTCTACATATACACCCACAATTTCTCTCATACAGATTTTTCAAAAACTAATGGAAAATTAATGGAGAATGAGTATGTCAAAATGAGACAAGAAAAAGGAAGAAGCAAGTAGCAAAAAGCCAGGGAAAAAAAAATTATTCAGCTTTTTCACATGTGCAGTGAGTTGTGCAGACCCCTGCAAAAATATCCTGGATTCAAAGAATCCAGTAGGGGTGACATTGTTAGATTTCCACCTTTGTTTTCAGTGAACCATTTTCAATGTGACAAGTTAAATATAAGCACGTTTTTTTTTGTGAGCTGTGGGTCCTCTGCTGACCCTTTCCCATTTACAAGCATCAATGCTAATACTTCATACCAGCCACCTTTCAGTCTGATGTTCAGATACCCATTTACAGCTTTCAAGGCTCAAAACAATCACCTGTGTGAGACCAGAAGCCTTGAACTTGCAACTGTGGGTTCACAAAAGTAGGCATCTGCCACTTTAGCCCCTGAAAACACATAAATTCATGCTACCTTTTTGCATATAAGCAAAAATACGTAAATCACTGGAACTGCTCACAACAGTCATACTAAACATACATATTTCCCCATCCAAAATCTTACATTGTTTGCTTTCATAATCAGGGATGTTGTCTTGCCAGAAACTGGGAACTGCAGACACTGCTGCAATACAGATAAGAAAAGGAAAAAAAGAGGTGCTTGTCATTAAGTATCCTTTAATAAACACAGACTATTCAGTTAGCACAGATTAAGTAAATACCTAACACTTTTATGCCAATAGCTGCATCATACATTAAATCCCACATTCATCTGTTCTAAATATTGATCACAACTTATTGGATTTAGTGGTTAATGGAGTGTATTCATTGGAAAGGAAAAGGGGACAATTCAAATTCCCTTTTAGTTTCACTCCAGGAGAGATGTGTAATGCAAATCTCAGTGTAGATCACAACTGACCATAATTTAGCTCTAATCAATGTATTTTGCAATGGTTAGCCATACAATTATCTTGGATCTAATTTTAAGAAAGCATCATGAAAGAAGGAGATTTAAAACAAATTATATCAAAGCAACCCTTTCCCCTCCATTCTCTTTTGGTGGGTGAAGAGAGGGAATTTAAATTATATTAACCAACATGGGGGGACTCATGGAACCAATTTTAAAAACAAAGCTTTTAACTTCTAAGCCACTTGCTAAAAAGTGACCAGTTTCAGAAGTGAGCAAGAATGGTTAAAACCCATGAGATTTTTAAGTATGCCCTGTATATACCTCTAGTACTCATAGTTCCTGACAGACACATGGAACTATAATCTCACCACCATGACAGCAGCAGATGTGTTATTATTATCACATTAGTTTTAGTTAACGAAGCTTTAGTGAAGACAGAGTCCTTCAATCCATGAAGACGGAGTAGCAACTTCGCTTTTTCTTTTTATTCTCTTGTTCTTTTTATTCTCTTGTTCTTTTTATTCCCTCTTTAGAGTCCTGCTTTACTATGATTTGGATGATAGGGTCTGCAAGACTAACCCAGCTTTTATTCTTTCTGGAACAATAAGACAAATAAGCAAGTAGATAGTAGTAACGTAATAAATGCCGTGCTGTTAGTCTCTTCAGAAAAGATGTGAGGCCTGACTCATCAGTCTAATACAATTCTGCAACACTATTCCTGTGGCAGAATTCCAGTAGGCATATTTACCACCTGTGGAATGGCTTTCTCATAAAGATCTTTCTAAAATGGAATAAGGCCAAACTGAAAGGTCTACACATTTGCCCTGTAGACCCTACTTTGTAGAGGAAAAAATGAAGCAGTAAAAAGCATGTGTGTTTATCATAACTACCTGAGAAAGGAGAACAACAAAAGAAATATGAAGCTCAACCATGCAGGAATTCTGCCAGTTGAAATTACTTCAAAATTCCTTAAATACTGTAATGAAGAACCTCATCTTTCAACAGATAATCTTGTGGTTGTATTGAAACTATTCACTTGGAAAAATCTTTTGGCTCACGTTTGTGTTTATGCAAACTAGACATATTCCTAAAATCTACAAAAACGTATCTCAAAATAATACAAGCAGAAAATATTTTATTTTGTAGGAAGGATCTGAGGTTTGGAGAACAGTAAAAATACCACAAGAATAACTGGTGAGTCCACACCTCAAGTAGTGTGCCCAGTTTTGGGCCCCTCACTAAAAGAAGGACATTGAGGTTCTGGAGTATGTGCAGAGAGCCATGAAGCTAGTGAAGGGTCTAGAGCACAAGTCTTGTCAGGCAACTGAGGCAACTGGGATTGTTTAGTCTGGAGAAAAGGAGGCTGAGGAGAGACCTTATCACACTCCATTCTACCTAAAAGAAGGTTGAAGTGAGGAGACATCTGTCTCTTCTCCCAAGTAACAAGTGATAGCACAGGAGGAAATGGCCTCAGGTTGTGCCAGTGGAGGTTTAGATTGTATACTAGGGAAAATTACTCCACTGAGAGGGTTATAAAGCATTGGAACC